TGCAAATATCATCAATTACCTGCTTCAGATTGCGATGCGGAACAATAAGCAGTTGTAGAGTAAGAGAAAGGTGCTAATTATGTAATCTGTGATTGTTTCCATCGAGAACACAGTGAGGGATATCATTTGTATGTCAGCGGCTGTCTGTAATTGCGTCTATCATGTTGTTTAGATATGTTTGATGTTTCTCATGGCTGTTTTCCACCTCGTTTGGCAAGAAACAATGAAGTTTCCTATCTTCCTATTGAATATTCTACTAAGGCTTCTTTGCAGCAGTGTTTTTAACCCCCCATGTCAAGTAAGGAAGTGATACCGTTGATGATAGAGTGTTGCTGTATCCTAAATCTCCGAGTTATTGGCTGTTAATGATATCAGCCATCTAAAGAACCAGCAGTAATAAGACTTGTTGTGTTCGATACGAAGATGATGACAATCGACTGTACACAGAACAAAACAAATTGCTGATCATTTACAGTAAAGAAGACAAAAGAAAGTAATATGACGAGTGACTTGAGTTGACTGATGTACTTATGAATAAGACGATGGTAACTGTTGAAAAGTGCCTAAATCAGGTACTGACCTATGTCGGAGGTTTAATTACGAATTGTAGATTGTTTCACTCGGGCTTGGGAAAACGGAACTTGTTATGAAACATGAGTTATTGTATGATCAGCAGCACTCACTACTAACACTACCTGCTCTACTACCAAAACAACGGAATCTTTTGAAATCGGAACCAACGTAACTTAACGCCATGTTTAATCAAATATTGACAATTCCATCTCTCCCTTGGCGTATTGCCACCTCGACTGAGATATGATATAATGGCGTACCCATGCTGCACGAAGCCGCCTACTATGTGGTCGAAGTCGATGGTAAAAGTTGCGTGCGAAAACTGCAATAAAATAGCATACTTAGGTAGTTACTGGAAATATTTATAAATGTTACTGATTTTCATCTGTCCATTATATAGACGAACGTCTTCGACGTAAGTCTTAGATTCCGTTTTGGGCTATCACGGCGGTTCAACGTCGGGCTACATAAATATAACAGTTGTATTAAATAAAAAGTTTATAAATATACAGTTCATTACCGAACAATGCTCCCGATCTCATAAGCGCTTTACAAAATAAGTAATAAATATTACCGAAAGCGTAGCGGGACATATAAAACGTCTTCATCAGGCACCAATTATCACTGCTACCTCTCCCGTTAAACTTGTAAAATGTTCTCGTTTCTCAGTAATTATCTGACCAGCCTAACTTGGTACCCCTCACCTCGCAACCGCTCACTGCGCGAGGAGCATGCGGGGGCGCTGCGATCGTTTTCAGGGATCAACTTAATTACCTGTTTATTGTAGGCCAACCAAGAAGAGCGTGAAGACGCCGCAATTTCGGTATGTGAGCGATTTAATTAAGAATGTTTAATGTTCACTATTTTAATTTCATTATGCGCTTTCATTTTGGCTTATATGATTCATAGAAATGGCTACTTCCATGCTTGGAAAGCGGAGATATAGTTTACATATACAACATATAAAGTAATTACATACCTACCTATATTTGCCAAACCTAAGTTTTACACAAGTCTACTGTGCACCAGTTATCCGGTTTGTACATTCGTTGCAGGCCCGTAATTCGATTCGAATGAAAATTAATGAAGTGAGTAGTTCTAATTGATGAAAGCTGTAATTTTAGATTTAAAATATTAATAAAACTGTATCTGAAAGCAGTCATCTAAGTAAAACAATGTAATTTCCGTTCGATGACTAGCATTTTTATTATTCTCGTTCAATCAGGAGAAATTATAATGACAATCGAAAACTTTCTCGATACTTTGCAGACCGATCATGACTAAGTGATAAAGTTTTATTGAAAATATACGTGGATACAAGATGCTGCTCTCTAGCAAGCAATTGTTATTAGAAATCTAGAAACATCGGAGTACGAGTAAATACATGGAGGTTAGTATTAGTAGTAATCAGTGATGTGACTTATCTAAGATAAAAGTATCTGAAATACAGATACAAGATACAAAATACGTATTTATATCTTGTATTTGAAATACTTTTTAATTTTTATATTTTGTATCTTATATTTAGATACATTTTCCAGGTATCTTAGTATTTTGAAGATACTTTGTTCACTATGATACTTTTACTAAAATAAACTTCGCAGTTTTTCTTTCCGAACGCAACTGAACGCAGCGCGTCGTTTATTTCGATACCATATTTTTACGGATCCGAAACTAAATGACAGATGGCGACACTATCGTAATTAAGATCGTCAATGCCAAAATTAAAATTTAAACAAATAATACAAAAAAAACGATTGTCAATGAGTGTGATCTGTCACTAGTGTCACTGTCACTCCTTCCGTAAGTTTTTCGCTGAGGTTTTTCGTGTGTACGTGGACGTGGTGTATGGTGTTTAAAATAAAATATTGTAATTAATAAATAACAATATCGCCTTTGTGAGATTCGGGATCGCGAACTTACCTACATATTTTGTCTTGTCACATTTGCGTGATCCTTGATATCAACGCGGTCTATCCGAGAACTGTTTTCAAATAAAACGAATAAACTTACATTCAATTAAAATTTATTAAATGCTGTTACAAAAGTATTTTATCTTTAAAAAGTATTTTAAAGATAAGTATTTTGTATCTAGTATTTCAGATACCTTTTTAGAAAAGTATTTGTATCTGGTATCTGAAATGCTTTTTTTAAAAGTATCTTGCATCTAGTATTTCAGATACTTTGTATAAGGTATCTTATACATCACTGGTAGTAATAGACTTGCTAACCACTTCCAGTTCCTCGCGTATTAACACCTCGAGGACACTCATACAATTATAATCCATATAAACATCGAATTTATGATGACAAGCCTCGTTAAACTCCGGAATTAGGAAAGCCGATGGCTTGGTGTCGCGTGCGCCGGCGCACCTCACCGCGGCATTATCATAATTGATGAAAGCAGTAGCGTATCTATTGTAGCGCGAGTTTTGTGCGCACACGGCGCTGCGGATTAAGTATCCGCTTAATTACCGCATCACTAAGTAAAATTAAGATTTCCGAATAATTAATCAGCTCACAGAGAGTTTCATCTCAAATGCCTACTGCACCAACATTTTGTAGATACAGACAGACGTCCTGGTTTAACGCATATCTTACCACTACCAGGTAGGTATCTCTCCACCTAAAAGTGCTATGAGTGAGAATGAATTTTATCTGTAGATATGTTTCATGAGGTTTCACGTGCAACATACATGAGGTACCTTACCCAGATACTGGATTTTCAAGAACTTCCTGTAGAACAGTGTGTGAAAATATTTTTCTGATGTTTTCAAATATACTGTAACTCCTTTCGCAGCAATTTGAAAAATATTTGATGAGTAAAAAACCTGTGCCTAGTCAACGATACTGCGATAGCGTTGGCGGGAAAAAACTAAGTGTAGCCATCCAAGGTGAATTATGGCCATTTAGGAAAGTGTAGCCGAGGAAATGTCAAGAAAGTGATCTCTAAATATAAATTTAATTAAAGTCTAGCCTCGTAGAACTAAGTTATCTAGTTAAAATAAGTTTTGTATACTTTTAGTAACGACGTATTTTGATTAGTAAAAAACCTACACCTAACACAATGGATGTGTTTAGTTTACTGAGTGGAAATATTCCCTAGAAAATACTTCGATAAACTAAATACCTACTTTATTGTAAAAAAATATGTGAGGTCTGACATCTTATTCGTTACAGCTCCAGCTGTATCTACAGTTTATGTAGACATTTTGGATTTAGCACAATTTGCACAATCCTGGCTGGAATTTAGCGCACTACGAATTTAAACCATCGTAACGCGCTGTATTTTATATGTGACCGCTTGACATTACAGCGAGGTATTTATTTTGCATGTTGCGTGTGTGTTCGTGTGTTTCCATTGCAATTTATTTCAATTAGTAAGGTGTACTTACTCACTTATCTATTCAGAGCGAATTCTTTGACGCCTCGCGCTGTAAATTAGATAGCTAATTGCACATAATAATCCGCATCGTCGATCAATCGATAATGAAGAATTAACGATACACTGGTATTTTGACGCTAAGCCACAGAATAATGCTAAGCTGCTTAAGTAGATAGATATCTAGTAATAAAATTTTGTTGAATGTCCGCGTTGATACGCTTTCCTTTCTCTGATATTATGAATGAAGTAGCTTACAGAATAGGATAAGGATTTTTGCAAGTAAAAACGATAAGAATTTTTAATTAAGTTCTCTAGAAAGGTTGATAGGCAGGACTTGCCAACTTCTATAAAGTATTTATATAATCATGTCCAAAATGCCTTTCACAAGCGTTTTTATTTATGAGATTCATACGGTAGGTACCTACCTACAATAAATTAATCTTATTCAAACGTAAGTACCTACCTAGATATTAATTACCTTAAAATAAACGTTTACTGTAGATATCTACTTAGTATGCTATCAAAGCAAAGAAGTTCATTTTGTTTAAAAATTACGCTTTGTCTGAATTTTCCTAAAGAATTGTGAGAGGACGCCGCTGAGCGGAACGGGATCCTAATTAAATTATCTGGAGCATAACATGCGCACGTATTTTATGCTTCATATTTTTTTCTGGGCGTTATCTAAAACCAGCAATTTTGTTGACTACAAAAAGTAGGATATAGTTGACTAAACTGCTCATTACCCCCATAGTTGGAAAATTAATCAAATGAGACGTACTGTACACATCTATTTACACATGCTTTATGCATTTTGTTTCGAAGTACCTACCTTAATACTTAATACACTACGTCTGTGCTTACTTAGTGAATTAAATTATGTTATCACTCTAAATCTTACAATTTATTTAATGTATTTAATTTTTCTTAAATATGTCTATATATTTCCGACAAACAAAAATAAATAAAGCTGATTTGTTTATTTCCTTCTCTTCATTTCAGACCGTTTAATATTATGTCAGTGAACTGATAGTGTCTGTCAGATGTATGATTTTTGAGTTTGACATATTATAGGAAAAGAGGTTATGTTGGGTCTAAGATTTTCGATATTTCAGTAAATAATGTATTAATATTAACTTCATAACACCAGCACTGATTGATAAGTGGTTACAAAGTAAACTTAAATCATGGCATTTGCATCGTTACGTTTTAATTTCCTGCAGAAAGTGGTGCAAACCGCATCCTACACTACCCTGCTGAAGAGGCCTATGGCATATAAAAGTTCAATTTCTTTAGAAACATTGTACCCTAATAGCTCCTTGAAGCTCACAACACCTGCATTTGTAAGTATCCTATACATTTCATTATAGTTTTGGAGATAATTGCGCTTCTATTCATATTTGTTTTATATTTATTTTACAGCAGCCAGACACCAATGAGAAGTTCTCTGGCTTTATACCCATCGACAAACTAGATATTACATACAGCGCTAGCTCGGGACCTGGAGGACAGAATGTCAACAAGGTAATTTAGTGGATACAGCTTACTAAATTAGATTGATGTACATATTAAAAATATAGTTAATGTCAATTTAATTCATTTATTATAATTGAATTTCTTTATAACTTTATTTCCAGGTGCACACCAAGGTTGATGTGCGATTTAAGCCGAGTGAAGCAGACTGGCTTCACCCTGACATCAAAGCTAAATTAATGGAACAGGTAATTAATGATAAAATGATTTATTCATGCTCATTTATTTTTTTATAAGTTTTATGAAATAAGTTAAGGTTCCTTATGATTTGCCTCATCATTGAGTTACAAATACTAAGTATAGTAAATATGTATAATGATCTCTTTCCAGTTTGCCAACAAGCTATCGAAGGAAGGCTACCTAATCATCAGGTCGGACACCACCAGGTCCCAACAGTTGAACTTGGCGGACTGTATGCAAAAGCTTCGGAAAATTATCCGTGAAGCAGCTGTCACGAAGAGGGAACCTGCTCCTGAAACTGTAGAGAGGATTAGACAGAGGTAAGTTATGGCCAACTGATTTATTGCAATAAGATCATAAAGGTGATCCGTCTGCTCGATTGCCTCCTATTCCATAATAAAAAATTACTTGTAAGACAATCAAAATTTAAGATACGCCATCTATTGGCCCTCTCATGAAGACATATATGTGTATTATATAATCTTTTATATGAATTCATCATTGAAAATCATTAAAAGGAAGAAAACTGTTATTTTTCAAATAGTGTAATGTTTTAACATTTATGTTCCAGACATCTGAAAGCGGCGCGCATGCGTGTTGCAGTCAAACGCGAGGAATCCATGAAGCGCGCCATGCGGCAGTCGCCCACTATAGACTTATGATTTTTCTATTAAATTGGGCATGCACGGCCTGCATATGTGCTGAACTCTGGGATACTTACAAACTATTAAAGAAGTTTAAGTACCTGTCAACGTCATTATTTGATAAACTGCTTGATAAAAATATTAACTTTTACAGTCTGTCAAATATGAAGTTAGAACAGTAATCTCAGAAGTTCAGTTCGGCCGTAAAGTTTGACTGTTTTATAGTTACTTCTTAATATAATATAGTTGTTTAGTTACCTGTGTCTTTATTTACTTATTACATAACTTTGAAATATAAAAGAAACATTTAAACTGTCAAACACCAAGCGGTCACCGGTGACCGCAACCTATTGTTCTATAATTGTGTCTACAAAACCGGTACTCGACGAGTTAAATCGCTATCGACCACTCGTCGCGGTGTTTTGCAGGCGCCTGATATAATTTTGGAGCAAATTGTAACAAAGAATCTTATCTTAATTTTGTCCACAGGAACTCAGCAACTGTAATCATGTTAACGTATCGAGAACTATTTGAACAGTCAAACAACATTTATACGATGTTAATAAAACGTATAAATGTTTCGTATGCCCAATTTAATATTGGAATAATAAAAATGAAATTGTAACTGTATCTTTCTATCTACTTAGATTTTACATTAAGTCAGTGCATAATGTAACCGACCGTAGTTTACTAGTTTAGTAATAAAGAAGTACTAGGTGTGTTATGGCTATATAGGTAGTTGTAGGAACTGTTTATACCTAGATAACAGTCAATAAAACTTAGATATTAATGATTGTTCGTACTTATACTAGTTATTATAATGTGTGTTAAAATAATAAATTTTAGAAGGGTAGACAATTCTATCTAATTCTAAATGTGGTTTCATTTCGTTGATTTCAATATCTTTCAAAACCTTTCCGTATCATTTCTACACTTTATTTATGTTATAAATAGACCGGTAAACCAAAAAAACGGTCTTATAGACTACGATTGCCATGACGCCGTTGTCATAGCAACACAGAAAAATAAACAAAGCATTCATTTGACTAAGTTGTAAAACTGAAGAATTTATAAACGCCAAAATTTATTTTCGATTATGTCTTATAGAGATTTGAGGAGTACGTATAAATATTATAATTATGAAATAAAATATGGAGTGATTGGAAGTGTTCAAGTGGTTGAACTTTGTTTTAAGATTTTAGTGAAGCCATGCGAGTGCTTGGTTTCCCGAAGCCGATCTCCTTGGAGAGCTTCAGGACTCCGAACTGGGACCTGATGGAGGAGTGTCTGCGGTGGCTGGCTGCGAGGGTGGAACCTGACGCGGAGCTGGGAGGGGGCAAGCAGACTGTTGAGCAACGGGTAGCACTCGTCACACATGCTATTGCGCTATTCGTAAGTTTTAATTTTGACTGACTGACTGTTTGTGATGTGACTTAAGTCTTATTTATTTGCTTAGGAGCAAATAAATAAGACTTAAGTTGCATGAATGACACATTGAATGTGGGATCATGCTTAATATTTATAAATATGTATCTATTGTCCCAGCACTCACGCGCCAACATAAAGTTGAACGGCAAGCGAGTGTATGGCGCGGACGGGTGGGCGGTGCGCGAGCTGATGAAGGTGGCCGCCATGTTGCGCGCCGCGCTCGATACTCCCGCCTCGGACGACCACCACCACGATACCTCGCCGCTCAGCTACGACTTCACCAGCAGGGTAACTATATAGTATATACCATGATAATGTATCGTATAGTATCTAATGGAGTAAGAAACAACAGTATTGTGTTTAATCATAATTTCTTCAATATCTTTACGACACTCAAAACTATCGACGAGTTTCTATTTTCAGTTGAGTGAGATCAAACAAGCTCGTGCTCTGGCGACAGATATAACTGCTCAGGGCGCCTTCCTGTATGATCTACTGGCTAAGGAGGCAGAGAATAAGGTATCAGGATAGGGTTAATTGACAATATCATTTTACGGGGCGTGTCCCTCTGAGACGTGTAACAAATCTCTTCTTTCTATTTGTTTCTGGGACAGCAGCCCTAGGGCTACCCTTGGGCTTATTATTGTAATTTACTGCATTATTTAAGTTATCCGATATATGGTGAAATGTATCGTTTTCGCCAGTGGCGCCATCTAGCCAGCGCAAAAATATATTATTGTATGTAGGAGCAACGCGAGCAGGCGTTGTCCCGTCCGCTGGACATGTCTGGCATGGAGGGCAGCCTGCGGCGCGCGCTGGACGCGGTGGCGGCGCAGGTGGCGGCCGCGCGCGACCACATCGACAACGTCGCCGCCAGCGAGGCCGCGCTCGACGCCAAGCTCGAGCGCAAGCGCGCTGAGCTCGTCCGCGCTGAGAAGCGCCTGCATACTGTGCAGAAGATCAAGTAACGCTGGCCACATTACATGCTCTCTTTAGTCACTACTGTATTGTTGAGGATTTAAGTGCTTGATAAGCAACACGTTAGTTTAAATCATCACTTGCCTATTATTTCCTGAAAGCACTTTTAAATGGTCCATGTCTACACGTATATAGAGAACTTATTGCCATTACGCTGAGCACGGTTTTAGGTTCGATGCTATTCTTATCACTCATTATTTAATAGCACTTGTCCTACTTGTTAATGGAACCTGAGACTCTTTCATCGGACTTAACGTCTTGGTGGTTAGGCCCGCGTACCAGGGCGAGCTGACGGCACTGGAGACAGAGATCGAGCAGCTGTGGGATCAGTACGTGCTGCGCTACCGCTGCGTGGAGGCGCTCAAACACCAGCTCAGCGTGCTCGAGAGCGCGCAGGCAGAGGTTACACTAAATTTGCTATAATTATGGCATATTTTTTATGGCATAAGCCGGTGAACGAGCAGACGGATCACCTGATGGTAAGCAATCGGCGTCACCCTTGGACACCTGGGACACCAGAGGCGTTAGAAGTGCGTCACCGGCTTTTTGAGGATTAGGAGTTTGAGGATCGTTGGGGATTCAGGGATTGGGGAGATTGGGGAAGGGGGAGGTAATTGGGCCTCCGGTAACCTCACTCACACGACGAAACACAACGCAAGCGTTGCTTCACGTCGGTTTTCTGTGAGGCTGTGGTATTACTCCGGTCGAGCCGGCCCATTCGTGCCGAAGCATGGCTCTCCCACAACTTCGGACCTGGGCCTACTTCCAGAAGCTCTGACGAAAAATTGCAGTTGCTTTCTCAAAACTTTCGGTGACGAGCTGTCTCCAAGCTGCTTGTCCATAAATTACATATATTTGATGATTGCTCGCATATTAATCTGGTTATATATAATAATTATCAGGCGGCTGAAGAGCAGCAGGCGGCCATTATGCAGCTCATTCACAAGTACGAGGCGGAGGATGTGCTCGGGAAACTCAGTGACTCGGGTAAATGAGGCCCACATCCATTATGATTGATTTATACTTACTTAATATTTTAATACGTCGAGTCGTTAGCACTCCATCGATTAAAAGAAATGAAATTAATATGTTTTTACTATAGATGATCCGGAGTCTAGCGATGACGGCAAGGATATAAGTGAGGTGAAGCAGCCGAGACCGGCTACTCGACCCAAGACACGGCTGAGGATCAAAACTGCAGGTAATCTACCGCGTATTTACTTACTTTAGTCAAAACTTTACCAGACGAGATAGTGGTTCTGGTCAAGTGCCTCTGAATCGATGCAAATAAAAAAAATATAGGAAAGACTACTTCCAAGAGGTCTGCACGATGTGCAGATGTGCGATGTGTGTGATGATGATGACACCCGATGAATTTGAGTCTTAACCAAATTCGGCTGAATGCCAGTATTACACGGAGCGACTGCGATCTCTCCACCAGAACCGAATACAAAGTTGTTCTATCCAGCCGTTACAACTGTCGTAGATGACAATACATTAAGCTCTCTCCCCTCCACCCAAAAGGTCGGCAACGCACTTGTATCTCCTCTAGCGTCTACGGGCGACGCCGATTGATCAAGTGATCCGGTAGCTTATTTGCCGCCATATCTGATAAGAAGAGAATATGACATATGACATAATCTTTGCCGTCTTAGGCACGGTGGCGGCGGAGGCTCGGCGCGCTTTCGGCAGTATGGCGGCGCGGGACTCATTGGACGACATCCGCGACGAGGACGACTCGCGCTCCGACTCCGACTTCTCAGACAAGCAGGCCTACGGGGACCTCTCCATCTCCAGTCAGTTACTCACATACATTATCACACAAACTAATATTTCTCATGCATGACATCATTCAACCATAGGCCATGTTATTTATATTGAACAAAAAAATTGATTTAGTTTGTACTTATATTTTTTATTTTAAGAAAATTATTGCCTCCGCAGCTCCGCTTGAAAGTTTAGGGGTTTTACCATATCGACAGTTGTTCATTTGCCTGTTTACTTTGAATAAAAGTTTTTAATTATTAAGCATGCATAGAGGTACAGCCTGCAACCCGTAGTTCATACTTGTCGCTCAGCTTGCGCATGGCAGTAGCGGGCAGCTATACAAATGGGCGCAGTATTGAAATTGAAGGCAGTATTGTAATAAATTGCAAAATTGTCGATGAAGGATTGCAGCCGGCTCAGAATTGCAATAGGGTATATGTATATAGCAGTAGGTGCAATAGAACTATGGGTGGAGTGGTGCTGTAGATCCAGTGTATATTGGACTTATCAGTCGCTGTCAGTATGTTTGTCCGCCGCAGGGAAGGGCGCGGCGGGAGCGGCCGCGCGCGGGCCGTCGGCCGCCACCTCGCTCGGTGCGTGCCACTGCACTGCTTGCACTGCTCTCACTCATACAAACTCCATTACATACACGCTACGGTGACTATACACTGGTGCCGTAAGGTAACTGCCAACAGACGTGGGTAAGTTCCCTTGCATGTTTATTGTCAAGAGAGGAGAAAACGAAAGAAAAGGCGAGTGTCTGTTGATGAAGAATAAGACTGGTATCATCATTCTCATCATGATATTTGTTTTTGTTTACAATCTATACTTTCATTTGCTGAGGCATACATGAGTGCATATCACTTGTCAGGATGGATATAGCTATTCAAACCAATTTAGCATTTACTACTCCCTGGACAAAGTTTGTATGAAAGAGGTGTTCCAGAAATAGTAGAGAGTACCGTGTTGATATAGTTCCACACATGTAGGTGGCGGCGACGTGCCGTCCCGCTGGTCGCGCGCCCGCCCGCGTCCCGCCACGCGCACGCTGGCGGCGGCCGACGATGACGACTTCGCTGATCTCATTGAAGGTTCGTTCAATCCCTTACAAAGATTTGTTTACTGTTTTACTCATTCTAATGTTGCCATAAAGGGGAGGTTTCCGTCTGTAACTGACGACCAGTTTCATGTTTCAGTGCGAAGATATAATTATGAAGAGTTGAAAACATTTCAGTCTCTTTCTTGCCATTTTCTTCAGCAAATATGTTAAAGTATTGACGGTAGTGTATGGTGTAGGAGTGGAGAGTGGCGAGGCGGGGGACTCGCTGGGCAGTAGCTCTGAGAGCGAGCTGCGCGTGGCGAGCGCGCGCGGCAGCGGCCGCCCGGCGCGCCCCAGTGCGCAGCCGGCGCGCGCCTCCGCGCTCAGCGACAACGAGTTCTAGGCTCTGCATCACAGCGACACACCTTACCTGCGGCCGAAATTAATAGCTGAACTCAATTGAATTTATGTGTCACCATAGATATAATAAAGAAGTGTGTCACTGATGTCCTGGATTTTCATGGGTTCTGTCAAAAACGTACGCAAATCCAGAGCTCTTGCATTGAGGTCGGCTTTTAATTTCGTTAAACTACACTTGTATGTTTAGTAGGCTTTCGTTTATTTGTGTTATAATAAACATTTCAAATGACTAGGTACTTATTTTTTCTTTCGACTCGTATATCAATTCAATCGATTACAAAATAATTAAAAAATAGTGATCGTAACAAGGTTGTTGCAGCATTTTAGAATATCTAATACAAACTGCCGACAAGAGCCAATAAATGACTATAAAATGAAACAGCGTTGTTATATAAAAAGTAATGTTTATTCGTCGCATCCCCCAAGCAATATCCGTTCATAATAAATAACCCTTCCTAGCCAACAGTTTGAGACAGACGAGCAGTCACAAGACACAATACTCCCTCACCCCGTAGACTTAGCTTAACGTACAACATAGTATGATACATCTCATTGTGAGCTTATTTACACACAGGTATATATTACAGTCTCTAAGTATTTGTGTTACAAAGAATAAGTACAAAACATATCTAGATTAATGTCTAAACGAGCTTACATCTAGTTTACGTATGGACTGGATACCGTAAGATTTTACAAAAAGAATTTAAACAAAACTTCAATCAACTCATGGAGCTTTGTGGTCTATAATAAGTTTACTTTAGAACTGGATAAAATTAGACCAAGTTATTTAAAACAAAGGGCTCTTTTCCTGTCGTAACTGCTCCCATAGAGACCTTAGGAAAAGGACCCTTAATTAGTTGAAAAGCTACAAAAATATACACTATGAAATATTTATAAATAACTTAATAGAAAATAAAATAAATGTAAGTATCTAATTACTTAACAATCAACCAATAACATGGAAATATTGAGCAACAATTTGGATGTTAGTATATATTTAAACCAATCGTAGGGTTCGCAATTTGGCACCGTTTAGGTACATAGGACTTTGACAATATATGTACAAACGTATACTCGACATTATATCTACATCGTGTAATAACTAAACTTACTTGTGTAGTACATCTCATGTTTATTAGGATCATCGGAACAGACGATACAATTTCACAAATGTTTCTATGAGAAATAATTCACGTAGAATAAGTTCGCCTGTTCGCGTCCACCAACTAGTTCGCGTCCATGTTACGGAACGCCCTTTAAAACTTCCGACAATAAGAAAACTATCACTATATACAAGTAGTATTTAGTACACACCTGTTTGATCCTTTCATCTGACATTCATGGAGATCCGTATAATGAACGCAAACTGGTGGGTGGACGCGAACGGCCAAACTTATAGTATAATGACTAAGAGCTAGATAAATAAGACTTAAAGTAGAATATAACACAGATATTTGACGATACGTACAAGTTTACAATTCATTAGTAAAGTGTTAGTAAAATATTAGTACTAAGATGAAGGATTGATGACACAATGTGAAACAATGAAGTGAATGATTCCAGTGTTGATGACAGATGACGATTATTTCAAGGGAAACATGTTTTACCTAATTATTTCGTAGTAATAAGTATCGAAAATAGTGATTGTCTAATTAGACCGTCGCTATTTTAAATCTTTATTAAAGTGTTCAACAATGGAGCCGCGAACCTAGCAGGTTACCAGGGCTCCGGCTCGAAGTGCAGGATAAGGAACGGGGTGGTTTTCAGTCAGTAAGAGTCTGACACTGATCCCGCCTCACCAAGGCGGGAGAAGGCATTTGATTATTTTCCCCCCTTAAAAAAAGTGTTTAACAATGGCATGGTGCGGATAGTGCCGGTGTAGCATGTTGTTCAGATATATTAGATATTGTTCTCTCTATCCTACATTATATTGTGTAAGTCTGTATTGACTATCAGAAAGTGAGAGAAGAATGAATGACAAAAGATAAATGTATCATAAATTCGTATGTTACTTAAAGTTAGTAAATTATTTACAGTTTAACTTAACGTATTGCGACCTTACTAAGCTAAAGTTGTTAAGTTTGGTATGATATGCTTAGACAGTTAGTTCCCTAAACTAAGAGTATTATATGAATCTCTTATTGACTAACGTACTAATGCTCGTATTCATTTACATGTTCGTATTTCATTCAGTTGACCGAAATCTGACAGGCTTGTATTTTTACAGCGAAACAAGTTTAATGTTGACTCAAGTGTAGTAGAAATGTTATGGAGTTCCGAAACTGTCGGATATCCCGAAATAATGTTATATCGGTGTCTGAAATCTGTCGACATGATGGTAGTCGTACACCCGTAACACCCCTGCTATGAGCGACGCAGTGTAGTAGAGTTAGGCGAGGTCGTGGTGTGAGTGGCTGGTGTCGCTGGTGGCGGAGGTGCTCGCCAGCGAGTCGTGCTGCTCCGCCGCGTGCCGGCTCTCGTCACATACTGCTATAAACTGCTCCGCGTAGGCCCTGCAACATATTACGTCATATGTTCATACTAGTATCGTATAGGTCCAGATGTTGGCTGCAGCAGTTGCAGCTGGGTCTAATCCCAAAGTTGTCGACATGTAGCCCAAAAGATTAGCCAGCTAAAGTGCTAACGCAAAGCTCTTTAGGGGCGTAACATAGAAATTTGTGGCTGGCAGTTGTTGATACGTAAACCTGACGATCCAACTAAGTGACGTACATGTAGGGAGGTACATATTTAGTAGTGTGTAGTAATGATCGGTGTTACCTATCAAGACCGGTGTAGGTTCGCTTGAGGTCTGCGTCGGTGATATGGTCGCGGTCAGCGCGCCGCTTGCGGTGGATCCTCTCCAGCGAGCGCGCCAGCTGCGAGTCGCGCTCACGACCCTCGCGACGACGCCGCTCCGTGGTCGCGCGCGGCGATCTACGACGGCGCATGCGCTGCAACAACACAATTCCATGTAAATGGGCACATAAGAGCTTTATTATAAGTACTTTATTAATGGTATGAAATACTCACAGCATCATGTACAGGGTAGTAGACGGGGCCGGGCGCGTAGGTGGCGGGCGGCAGCGGCAGCGTGGCGTACCGCGGCGGCATCACCACACACGCGGCGGGCACGCGCCCCAGCTGTAGCAACATAAACAATATCCACTTAATAAAGGTCAGATGAACATAGAAATTCGCGGGTATTGGGACTACCTTGTCACATTGCCCTAACTTAATTATAACTCCTGTAAGCTAGGGTCTATATTAGCTCCCAACCAATAAAGCACTGGAACAAATTCGATATAATCCAGCTGCATACGGGAACCAATTTCAATATATTTAGATGCATACATTAATGTGTTATTGCTACGGGAACTTTGTTACGGGATTTTGCACCTAATTTGGATCCCGTAACAAAATTAATCAGAAGACGTCATTGGAGGACTAGAACACATAATGAACGCCTATACGCCTGATAAAGTATCTTAGGATCTAAAAAGCTGCAGTGACTGAGTGACTCAAGGTTCACACATTGGGCCAAATATTGTTCTATTCTTATTTACCATCACATCAATGACTTGCAAGAAATACATGACCCACTTCGTACCAGTAACGGATCACTGAACAGTAACTACAAATAAGGCACAATAAGTAAAGTATTGTAACCAATACGCCTAACTCTGGGGTCAGGCACAACAACAATCGCTCACAATGCGCTCTTCAACTCAAAGATATGCTTTGTGCCTCCATACAAACTTGGAGAACAGGGCTGTCGGAGGTACGCAGCTACTGACAGACTCTTTGAAAAGAATTCTTGACCTTAATACATTTAGTTAAACTGTACTTGGGTCAGATGTGTATGAACATATTTGCGTCGAATATTAAAACAGTTAGTTTAGTTCTTCAAACCATTTACCTAAATTATGTTTGTGAAATCATATAAAATGAGTGAACGCATCTCATCGCACTCGTTTTATAGACGAGGACGAGACATTTAAGAAAAAAAGCTGGATTAGAGTCCAGTCCGCTCGAGTGATACTTAGAAGCCTGTATACTAAATTCATGCTAGTGCTGTGCTACGAATTTTGAAATAATCTCTTTTTTACTTTGTATTTGCAATTATGACTTATTGGAAAGTCTATCAGCCCTGGTGTTACTGCTTACATTGGCTTACATGTAAGACAATAGTCCACAATATGTGTGCCAGCTCTCTTCCTAAACCAGTGACACACTGTAGTCGCTGAATTATTCACAGCGTGCGCGTGCGCCGCTGTGACTCGAACCGACAATATCCTATTGTGCTAGATTTTCTTCTCACGTGCGTATCCTCGCACTGTTTGAGGAAACCATGTGGAACACTTACAGAGTAACCTGTCAGTATTAGATATTTGATAACGTTGATAAGTTATTTAGATAGGAGTACCAAAGCTTCGCATTTAAACTTTTTATAAATATAAATTCACTGATTCCAGACGCCATCAAGTAATAGAAACTACATGACAATAACAATAAAACTATCGCAGTTAAATTAAATACTTATGGTAGAGAACTAACAAGTGTTAACGTTTCCAGAATTGCGACTTTCACAAAACCGGTAGATAATTTCCGTGATCCGTAGTTTCACATGTAGTAATGTGATATTGTTGGTGTTAGTCGCCGTCAACGTGCGAGATAAAGCAAAGAAACCTTTACGTTTACATTAAAGAATGGAGCAAAGTCTCGGCGAGTGGCCATTACTGGTGTTGCAGCATTAATTCCTCGTCGCCGTCGCACAGATACTTATCGCTTAGATAATGTTTTTTCTAACAAGTAACGAGTAACCGCAGGACCGGAATGCGGGCGGCCTCAACTGCCTGCTCGTAAACATATGGATTACTTTTACCAGCACCGCAGTACCAAACATAACGTAGTAAACAACGTACTTCTGGAAAACTTGGTCAAAGTACTTGTTTTCCTACATTTTCACTTCTTCAAAGGCAAATCCTTGGCAGGTCGTTAAAGAGTTTAACACGTAGCAGTTAGCAGCTATATTAGAAACGAATACGTTTGATTGAAGCCAATTAGTAAACATTTTATAACGTACAGCGGATAATATCATCAATCAAAGTTACATCTAGGTCGTAGTTCTAACATCCTTTTTTAACGTTCATCTAACATGTTATATTACCCTATCTCGCCAACTGTTTGACACCTTTACAAGCTCCATATTTTACCGTAATTGGCTTGTCTCAGCAATCGGAGGCAGTAACAGCAAATTAATAAAAAATATAGATGTTCAGTTCAGTTACATACGTGAAGGTTTCAGAGGTCACTTGATAAATCGCCACCAGTTTTACGATGGCCTCTGGCATATTTATTGTGCGCAATCCTTCAGCTACCTGTACACCTCTGCAGAAGCTACGATTACTGCACAAATTAACTCGGAAGCATCTGTCAGTACATACATGTAGCGTCTAGTTAAATAGAACTTGTTATTTTTACTATTTCATCAACTGATTTGGTGCTAGAAGTCAACCAATAATCAGTCCAATTCCAAACATTTATAAAATGGGATACCTACAGATCTATATACGCTTTAAATGAAAGTGTGCAAGGCTTTGATCGGAAAATGCAAACCTTTGAATTTAAAATAAATGTCTCTTTGAAAAAAACCACCGCAGGTAAGCGATAGAAGTAGATACATGGTGGCACTGCCATGTGGCTCCCACGGCGTGAAACCAATCCTCCTTGATACATTTGCAGACATACCAATGAGACTAGATCATTATATTCTGCATCATTTACATAATCATTTCGTGACAATACATAACTCCTGCTACAATTAAAATGCAGTCTTTGTGTCTTTGACTGGATCATATTTCCGCCTTAGATGGCATTCTCTTACATATGATTGGATGATGGTTTTATGGTAAAGATGTTTAATCTTTGGGCTTGTTTATTGAGCTTTTCATTATCTCTCATCTGCGTTATATCTCTCATTGGCGTTACGTTAAAACTTGGGTGCAGTTTTTTATCCCATAACACCTAATCTTCTTTCACCACAGTTCATGGTTAGATTGTTTAGAACCCACTATAGGTAGTGGGTGCTATAGTGGGTTCTAAACAATCTAACCAGCTGGCTAGGGCCATTGCTAGTAATTTCCAGAACATTATGGAAAGCAAGTGTTCGTGTTTGGTTCTCATTGAGCGCAACCTTGCGACAAGTGCGTACGCGCACCTAGTTGCTAGACCGGTCCCATTGTGAGGCGTGATCGCAATCTGCGCGGGCGCCGATTGTAGTACTAGTGTTTGTTTACACTCTGGTACAGATTGCTTGATCTGTGCTGTTCTTTACTAATGCTTTTTATCATTTTTGATGATTCGTCAGATGTTCGGGTAGTTTTCTTTATCCTAAAAAAAAATAACTACGTGTTGCATACTCAGCTTACTATAATATTTTGACTATAATCGATCTATTTAATAAAGAGGCAAATATTTTTCGTAATTCAATAGAAATTCTAAAGAACATGGATGGTAAAACTCGATGTAGTAGAGTATCAGATATCTAAACTAACCAGTCGACACCTCATAACCGTAAACATGCCCAAACAAACAAGTCAAGAAAGAAGAACAATAAACGGTGATCATAAATATGCAAACATCTAACACGAATTAGTTGTCTCCGACTTTCTTTTCACTTTTATCGGAGTCCCCCCAAACTTGTGCCGCAGTCCACAATCATGTAAAAAGTGAACGTCGTCACAAGGTCACAGAGTGATGATCTCCTCGAATAATGTACTTGGTTACTGGTATAATGGTTAGCGGGTCAGTGTCCCACGTCCCGAGCTCACGGAATTATAATTACCGATGCGTTTCTGACATTGTTTTGCAAAGAATTTGTGTGTTTTGGAAACGTGCGCCTTACTTTTGTTTAAAACGAAAGCTTTGAGAAATGTGAGACGCTTGTAGCGGCGGTGAGACACGTGTTCTTAGTGGGTTAATGGACAGGTATTAGGTGTCTGCTTGTACGCACTATTTATCTTTATCTTTCAGAATTTGTGGAGAGCACGATCGTTAAGATGCGAATTTACAGTGATTTTATAGTGCACTTGTCGCTTGTGAAGTAACAAAGTAAGCTCTTAAAAGTACTCAGATTAGCCAAGTCTCGTTGTTCCTGTTCTAAACAATATCCAGTACATTGGATGCGACTTACAAAGTAGTCACAGGTACGTGAGTTCAAGCGGGTACAACTAGGTACATGTAAGTAGGTACTGTGGTATCAAACATTGCAACGTTGTTTTGCAAGGTAGTGCACGTACGCGGCCGACCTGAACACACTCAATAGGCAATTTGTAGGTAAACTGCAAGTAACGCCGGCTTCTAAATGTTCTACAGCCCCGAACATAAGTAGCGCGTAATGATACAAATACACAGAAGGTGGAGGGAAACACGAATTATTTCTATTTCGAAGAAATAAATATCTCATGGAATTTGATTCGGCTCCGATATCGCACGATCGCTGCGCTAAATGTTAGACAGCCTACCAAACAATAAATAATCATCCCACACGATTTCAATCAAAACAACATTCTATTAAAATTCCTAATCCACGTAATAATTTAGTCAATTTAGTTTGGAATGTTGCAATTTGCTCGCACTCGTAGTTTTTGCAATAAAAACTGATAGCGATCTCGCCATGACTTCTTGTGGGGACGTAAATCAGTAGTGCCGCCCTCTGGCGGAGGAAGCTTCAACATTATGTACCTGCATGTAACGGGAAACGTACCGTGTGTTCCACCTGTTGAACTGACAGTATACCATACTAAGTTTTCATAATTGAAATTGTGACATTGTTGCACAATAGACGGTAACTTCTACAGGAACCTCGCTTAACTAAAAATTACGAGTTACTCACTTAAATATTCTGAGAAAAGCTCTCCTAGTTTCGAGTCACAGAGGTACTCGAAAGGGAGTCATGAGCAGCGTGGGCGGTCGCGGCGAAGTCGCGAATTTTTAGTCAATTCAGTGTAGTCTCACGATAATTATTATAAAAACAGGATCCTAGAGCTGTCTTTAAATATATTGTTTTTTTTTTCTATAATGCTTCTAGCTTCAAGCTTTTCGTATCTTACTGAAGATATATTAGTCGATATTTATGAATG